GGTCACGCTGATGAGGCAAGGATGGATGATGATCGTGAGACCGAGGCGCGAGGTAGAGTCGCTAAGTGAGACGTGCGATATTGTGCGTGTGCCGTACGATGTGTCGAGGTGCCAAGGTGCCAACGAGCAGCGTTGTGAACGATCACGTTGAGTATTTGAGCGCGGAATACTCCGCGTTGAGCGCGCAGAACTTTGATTAAATACACCTCTCAATGTTTTCCGCAACGACGTATCAATATCCCGAGTTAATATTATGCGAAGGTATACTCGTACGTTGCGTATATTTCAACTCTCCCTACAGCTCTTTTATGCGATGAGGTTCTCAATATATTTTTGATATCGTAACCGAGTGTGGTAAGATTGAAAATTTTCTGATAAGATTAAAAATTTTCACGATGATAATAGAAAAACATAGATATATAATTAAAGAAAATTTTTGTATGTATTATTAAGTACAGAACCAACATGTTTTTCAATGTTTTTTACCGTATTGCTAAAATTAATTTATCCAATATGTTGACAAAAATATGATAATAATTAAAGTGTCATTATTTAACTTTAATCAATGTTAATCCTATCGCGCATGTTTGCGCATTCACATTACGAGTGTACTTCGGTAATGTATAGAAGTTATAATCGAGCTTCCGAATATTTTATGACTGTCACCCAACTCTTTATGTACTTTTGCACAAAATGACAGTTCAGTCTTATAGTTATGACCTCGATGTATAATCTAGATCTTGTATTTCCTCGTTTTAAGCTTTGACAATTTAAATCTTTATAGATAATAATTTTGACCTAGTTCAATTTTAAGATGACCTATTCAACAACGCTGCTCTTAAGTGTTCACTTCAACCATCTTTGAGGACGCGCGAGAAATGTATATTTATAATATATTTATAAGAATTATGTACAAATAAATTATAAAAATGTCTTCTATCTCATATTTGAAGAAAACATAGTAGATAAAAATATTCTTAAAGAAATATATAAATATATAATTGCAGTTTTATTTTCAAGCAAACTGTTTTCATTGTTTCAATTGTTTAATATTGTATAATAATATATAAATTATATTAATATTTCATTCGTAACATAAAAATTTGCTAACTTCTTTTACGCCATTCAAAGATGGATGCAATGATTTCTCGGCATCCTTGAAGATTACAAGCAAAGCTGCCACCTTAAACTTAAATTTGCATTAAAAACTCGAAATACTGCTGTCATCATTTCTACTTTCCTTTTTTTATCCGGGACAGCGTATTTTTTTCACGTTATTAAGCAGCTTAACAAATATTTTAGATAGCGGTCTTCAAAAAGCTGTTTCTTGGAAAATGTATGTAAAATATAATTTTCAAAATGCTAAATAGATAAATAAAATAATGCAAATAAATATAAACAATAAATGTCAAGTAAAAGCAGCGCAAATCACTACGTAGTGCAATTATGTACTGCATTTTGTTTAAAATATATATCTATAAATGCAATTATACACAGTCAGTACTAATTTTATTATTTAAAAGGAGCCGGGCAAATGTTCTAGGTGGCAGCCAACGAAGAAGAACAGAAAATTGTATCGCGTTGTGACATATACACAAAACAAATGATAACAATTACAGAAACTGTCTAACCAACCGATAATCGATGATCGATAATAATTATAACGCGACATCCATCAATAATGAGGATACTGATGATGATGACGATGATGGCAGTGACATTAATGTCGATGATGATAATCGCTGTTAGCACAGAAGGAAATCGGCAATGAGATCGCGACGACGAAGGCCGCAGTGAGGATGTAACGAACCAAAATGATGATTAATCGAAAGAGACACGATTTGTGGCATTCCTTTATCGTTAATGCACAGCTAGTCATCTAAATCTAGGGGCAACGACAACAATTATTCATGCCGCAGGGCCGAAATATTAAAATTCGACGAGGCCACGCAACGCAGCCACTCGATGACGTGTTGCCGCCATCCGTCGTCGTCGATTCCTCTCGGCTGCTCCACTCCACTCCTTCGTTCTTCCTCCGCTCTCTAGCAAACCTGTTTGCGTTTTTTTTTTTTTTTTATATTTTCATGTACACATAACCATGCGAGGCGAAGCGTCATGGCAAACGTCAATTACTTTCACGCACACTCGCACACACGCAAAAAACGCACGCGCGCAAACACTCTTGCCAACAAGCGGTTTGTCACATCGGTTTACGAATCGATCATGAAACCATCGGCATGTTATATTCCTTGCTGTTGCTCGCGGATACCCGAAGAGCGAGACGCGAAATGTTAATGTTAATCACCGTCCGGCGACTTGTTCAATCGGTTAATTTTATTCGGTCGATTCGTTTAAGTAAATAATGATATACGTCCTACAATCACAGACTCGCCTGTTCGTATGTCAGAATAAAGCGATTCATGAAATCTCTATTGAATACATATATTTCTACTTATTTACTATGCTTGCGCGGATAACAAGCGATTTCTCTTTCAGATATATCGACAGCAATCATTTTAGACGATAAAATAATTGACATAATATATCTGCACAGAAATATATAATACAGTAATTGTCTGTAAGGACGTTTCAATAGCGAATTCTATTTACTCTTAGTTTAGACTATTAGTTTAATAGGATTGCTATTATTTCTGACATGCAATGCTATTGGTCTGCGAAAGAGGGAAAATAGAGAAGAATATAATGACAGATGGCTCATGAATGATTCGTAATACGTCATATTTCACATGTTACCAGTTATCCCCCCTATTTGAGAAAGCAATACAACTATCATTACCAGCTGCTCTGCCTGGCACGTCACTTAGCCTGTTAATCCAAATCAATACATGTAATTATCCGAGATTTACGATAAGCTGTCATCCTTTCTTGTAAAGCGCGTTCAGCTTAATCCGCTCATATAAATACAAATTGCATGATTGGTTTATCCGTATAACTCTCGTTGCACGAGTAGATTCGTGTTAACTTCATCCAGTTAAAAGAGAGTTATTTTCATTTTATTGTAACTCTCCCGCTATTTAAAGATAATGTTTGAAATATATTTCAGTTTTTTCATGGGAAAATAAAATTATTATAAGACAATTTTTTGGAATATTTTACGCTTTGTAAAAATTAATGACTGTAAGCGTAAAAAATTAAAAAAAAAAGAGAAAAAAAAGATATATTTTGGATATTTTGAGTTTTAAGTTAAAAGCTAAAAATCTGTCTACCTTTCATTTAATTTCCTCCCTTTGAAATAATTGTGTAATTATACTATTGGAATTATAAGATATACCTTCCACGTTGCCGCGTTGCGCCGGAAGTAGCAGAATGTGTTTTGGAACCAGTTGTAAATTTCGTTGAGCGTCAGCTGCTTCTCAGGAGATTCGATGATAGACTATGAAAAGAGCAACATTCGAATTATATTAACTTTTTCTATCCTTAGCAGCAAAATATCATAGCCAAAATATTTAAGTATCCATAAACGAGGTGAATCCTTCTGTGTATGTAATATCGTGCAAAAATTTCACTTTTAAATTGCAATATCACATAATAATAATTCGAGATTATTATAATTCTCTAACAAAACAAATTTAAACAAATAACAAAATAAATTTTATTTTATTGCGCCTAGATAATTATAAGTTATAATAAGCTTCGAAACAGAACGTTGTTAAATTGGGATACTATTCAATATAACCTGTGCTAATTTTAATAAATAAATTGGGAATTAATTTTCAATGTATTCCCCAAAATTATGAAAACTGTGACAATAATACATGCATTTATACAATAAACTATTTTATATTGTTAAAGAAAATCTTCTCAATGATCTCTATGTTAAATACGACACGATGGGAAAATGTGATATTCAAAGGATCAGCAATTATATTAGCCACTCACCTGCCGAATTAAGGATGCATACGTAAACGGTGGTCTGACGTCTGCATTCTTGTAGAATTCCCTATTTCGCTGAATTTCTGAAACCGGAGGCAACAAATTTCATTTACTCTACATTATTAAAATTGGTGATGGATCGAAAGCTAATATCTTTATTATTGATAACACGTGATTAAATTTGCTTAATTCTTTTTCTTGCGTAAAAAGATCTGAACAGTAGGATTACAACAAACAAGCAAACATTATGTCAATCATACAAAATTGATAATGATAAAATCTCGCTTTTAAACGCCGAGTATAAAACAAGCTATGTGTATTTTTGCGATATTTTCCTAAATTTAGAAAAATTAAAGCAATTTATATATATTTATATTAAACTTTAAGCTTCAGTTTTTCATGTGAGAAGTGATAAATATATACTTTGAAGTATTAAAGTATGATATAATATAAAATCTATCATATAAATATTTTTGCATTTTGCATTTTTTACTAAATTATTTTTCAAACATTTTTGTCTTTTCAACAAATATTTAAATCTTAAAATAAAAATTAGTGATCAAAAATATATATAGAAATTTCAAATTATATATAAGATGATATTGATATTAAACAAAAATCAAATGTTTTTATAAAACAATAATAACTTTATAGAAATATGTTGCAGATGCATGCGTTTATAAAAAAAATTATATAAAAATCGAAAGAAGGCAATCCAAACATTGAAGTTTCATCTTTAATTTTTTCGCAATATACAGCAATCATTTTTTTAGAAATGATTATACACAATAATATTATTTAATATGTTCGCATTAAAATATACATTAAAATTAAAATGTTTATAAATAAATTTTCAAAAAACAAAAGTAGTTCAAACCAAATACATGGATTGCCTCTTTCATGCTTGAAACAAAAGCGATTAATAAATAATAAACTGCGATCAATTGACTTATCCAATCCCAAATATTTATATGGGGTTTTAGAATACTCGCAATATATCTCAATTTTCTCGGGAATTATCAATAAAATTAGAAAAATTTGTGCTACGTGAAGAGAGAAGGGTGAAGATGAAAAAGGGAGGTGAACTTTCATGCAAGGTGTATCCTTCCGCAAGAAAATCTGTAAGCCACAAAAGGGAACGTGGAAAATAGGTTGACAGTACCTTGTTGGACGTCAAGGCCAGCACGCTCCAGCATGTAGGGCAGCCCTACACGGTGGGGAGGGCGGGCAGCACAAGAAATAAGGAAACAACAAAAGCATCGATAAGAAAAAGGTTCGAGCTGGTGGATGAAAGAAGTTATTTTTCATCTCGTATCATTTCTTTTCTCATCGCACAAATTTCCTTGCATCCCTTTCTACACACCTATGCTCGTTCTACGCCGCCAACAAGGTGTCGAACACTGTCGCTTCATGAGTGACTAGTCGCTACCATAAGTAATTTGTGCGTGTGGTACAATTTACGACAGGAAAAGGCACGAGATCAAGAGAGGACCGTAAAGAGCACTTGCTACAGGATCGGTATTTTTTTTTATTTCATCGGAGTGAATATGTTTCTCGTGACGAACCTCGAAATGCCAGAAAAAATATAATTAAAAATCTGTATAAATAATATATTATCATTAATATTATCATATCACAATAAAATTAAAAATGTATGTTAAAATTTCACAAGATTATATAATGTTTACAAATTAGAAAATTAAGAAATGTCATGTAATATTGTATTTTTCATTAGTCACGCTTTTACTCAACTTAATAATACTATCATTTTTTATTTTAATGTTATAACAATAATATCTCTGCTTGTTTTCTAAATACGTTTATACGATGTAATTTGGGGAAAAAAACGACATCTCTTATCAATAATTTAACAAGAGTGTCATTTTGCACAGATGAAATTTGTCACGATGGCATTTCGAAGCTCGTGCATCACTCCGAGTATGATCTTGTATTTTATCGTTACCTTCATTAATATCTATTCCAGATCTATCGACGGCTACTCTGCGCCTTACAGTGCCCTCGTCATACAGTCCTACGAATAGTATTCAATTTCTGAATTGTCATTTCTTTCGTTTCACCTTTCTTTGAGACGATATTAATCCACTTCCGCTCTCAAGCTCTCGTACGCATTTTAAGCATAAAGCTATACATTCGGAAAATGGTTATATCAAAAATATATTAATTAAGAGCATTAAATGTATGAAGTATATTGTACGCTCCTATAAAAAGGCAAGATGTACAAAAAGAATTACAAGAATTAAAAAAGAGCTATTTAATTAAGGATAAATTAATGCATTAAACTCGAAATAGTGTGTAGGTAATGTATGTGTGTTTCGCAAATCACATAAAATAATATTAACATTTAACAAAAAGTTTTAACAAATTTATGATATATTCTTGATTTTCTACATACATTCTACATACAGTTAAAAAGTTTTTAAGTTTTAATAAAACAAATTGTTAATTCAAGACATTTTAATGCGGTTTTTTTTTAGAAATACCAATTATTGTTACTAATATCTAAGCGATTAACGAAACATACTATACATTATGTGTACCGATATACCAGCAATCGTATATTAACACTGGATCAACCATTTTCCTTGGAACAGGCAAAACGGAAGAGCTGTTGTAAAATTGATTTTAACAACAAAATTGATCTTGTTGAGCGCGAAATATGCGATTCTGACACTCATTGACCCTAGGAGATGCTACCTCGAGATCTCACCTGTCAGGTGAGATAATTAAAAATTGAAAGATGAAGGGATGACCTTACCTCCTGCCAAGGAAAGAGCTGATTTGTCGCTGATGCGCCGTCTGATTGGACCAGCCATACTCGGCATGCTGCCTGGCATGTTGGGCATAGGTGGTAAACTAGACATGTTAGGTATGGTCGGAAGTGGTGGCATCGGGGCAGTGCCAACCGATGGAGGTAGCTGACCACCCGCGGGCGACCTCACGGCGGACACCAGCGCGGACATGGATACTGGTGACACCTGAGAGACTCCGAAGTTAGGTGGCGGCTGACTCATCAACGCAGTGGAAAAATTTAGCTTTGGTAAACTCGAGCCCGTCTGGAAAAGAGAGTTTTCGAGAAATCGTGAAAAACGAGAAAAGCAGAGATGATAATTTGACACACCGTTGTCCAATTTAGAATTATAAGAGAAAATTGCAAAGATCTTGAAAAAAAAATCTTTATGTATTTGTGTACATCGTAGAACTATTTTTTAAAGTTTTAATGACTTTTTTTGAAAGTCAGAAAAATTTGAAATTCTGTGCAGTATTTAAAAATTTTGTCTTATTGACAAAGGAACGATATAATGTCTCATATTTTTTTTTCTTTCGTCATAAAATTCACAAGATAAATATAATCTACATATTTAAAGCGCTTAATGCGATATGAATATAAATCGATATATGCACTTTGCAATATGAATATCTTATTACATATGGCAATGGCGTACAAACTGCACGAGCAATCTGATCTTCGTAGCAGAACCACATTCACACAGCCGCGTTAAAATAATTAAGCCGTCGCGAGCGTTGTCGCTGGCGGAGGGCTAATGCGATATTGGTATTCTCCGACTGCCCAACTTGTTAGGGGTTTTAATTAAGGCGATATAAAATTACCGCGGCCCCGATGAATTATTAATGCAAACTTTATGTATAAATTAGCACTCGACTCGGCGGCGCGTTAAAACTGAAACTCGCGTTGTTGTTAGCAGGCCGCGAGAAGCTCATAAAATCTTCCAACGAGCCGGTCTGTCGTGAAAATCCGGCTTTACGATCTCGCAGCAATGCCGCAACGGGGAAAGTTTACGCATCGCGGTTGGACCGTTTTTCCGGATTCGGCTTTCAATATCTATTCTACAGCGAATCCTTAAGTGTCATTGTAATTTGATAATTTTTTTTATTCCATAATATAATAATTAATTTTTTTCATTTGTAAAGACAAAATTACACTCATGATTCTCTATGATAATTAATTTATTCGTTTTTGGGGCACAGAATTAAAAAAAATGATAGTATTTATAAATTATTCTTATTAAGCAAATATTCTGATCTAATTATAAATTTTGCATTAGAACATTGACGTCGAAAGAATTAAATATTCAGAATATAATTATTTAAATTTGAAATACATTTTTGTAAAAAGTTTGATATGGAAAAAATTAGCGTTGTAGTTATCATTATATGCTTTTTTTCATTATGTTAATAAATAATTGAAATTAAAATTTACATTATAAATATAATGTTAAAAAACTTACCGATGACTCAGATGACTTTGGCGGTTCCGGGGAAGCCATTTGTTTCGCCATGTGCAAATGATGCATCATAGCGCCTAGTCGATCTCGTTCTTTTTGCAACTGAATTTCTAGCTGCGACACTACTTGCATCTGGACCCTGGCTTGCGCTGTCGATCGGTCATCCAACGTGTGTTCTGTATTTAAGTGTCTGTAATATTCCAAAATACAATTTCTTATTTTAATTCAATACATTGCAACTCGCATTAACTCAATTACGAACAAAAAAATACTAATTAAACAAAATTAATTATATATACGATATTTTAAAATAATTTTAATTGATCATATCGGTCTCTTTATTAATATAAAAAGAAAAATATACTTCAATAAAGTCAAATAAATTTGGTTACATTTATGTTTCATAGAAAAATTTTACATTATTTAATATTTTATAATCTTTCCTTGTCGTGATGAATGCATAAATAAATGCATAAGAGATTTATTAATTTGAAAGTTGCAATCTATAACTAATTTGACTTTAATGAGTTTAAAACAATTGATTAAAAATTTAAAAATGACGTGTCTATGTTTCACTAAAAAGAAACATATAAAAATGAAAACGGCCACACAATTATCTTTCAAGAGTCACGAGAAAATCTGCGCGTCAGAAAGCCACGAAAAATCCCGGGCACGTAACGCTTCCATTCTCCAACTCAAACCCCCAGGAGACAGGCAGGACAGAAAATTAAGCTTCGCCGAGTCGTAGAGAATGGGGGTGCCAACAACGCCAACAAGATTCCGTATTTAAGAATTTCCGTAATCCTTCTTCGTCGACGGAACGGACGGCTGTATCGATGAGAGTAGAGAAGGGTGGCGAGGAGGGGGTGTCGGTTGAAAGAACGAAGATGCGGGAAGGTCGAGGGAGTTTGAACGGACGAACTGAAGGGAGGAGTGGGACAGAAAGGGATTAGACTGAGGGGCATAACGATGCGGTCGAATGTCGTGAATATTAATGAGACAAAGGTAATTAGCGTTTTTCTTTTTTTTTTAAGTAACGGCTTGTTTGAGGGAGAGTTTGCACCGAGACGAGCTACGTGATTACGAAGGATCCTCCGGATGGGAGGATGGAGCTACGTTCGAGCTTGCGGTTGCAAGCCGATGGGCGAAAGCGCCTGATGTCAATGAGATACGCTGACACGAGCGATTTTTCTACACTTTCTTTGCTTCATTCTCCCCAATTTAATTACCGACTTTATTCCTCCTGTTTCTTCGGCTTTTCGTACAGAAGGCATTCAACCTTCTTCCTCGTATTTATCTATCTGCTTGAAAACAGTTTGTTTCTTTAAAATATATCGCATCAAAAATGATAAGGTTTGATGACTTACACAAGTTAGACATTTTTTATTCGTCACTAATTTGAATAATTTATGATAAATTTCTCCATGTTAATAAAAGGTTACTAAAATTAAAAAGATTTGTTATTTAGTACTTCCTGAAGGGATTTTTATCCACCAAAATGATTCTCAAATGTTAAAAATTTTAATAAATCATATATAAAAAAATTGAATACAGGAAAACTCACTTGAGGAATGCTTGATAGTCTTCACAAATTACTTCACAGCCTGGCCACTTGCAAACCCCATGGCCATAGAGGGGATGAACCTTGTCGTTGCAAGAGGCATCCAGCGGTTTCTCATCCATCGGTGTTGTGCCATTCACCTCGGATCGCCGGCTTGGAGCTATCGAATTCAGAATGCCTGCGATAGTTCGGTAAACGAACGTCGCATTCGCAAAAGTAAAACATAAGCATGGGGAAATTAGAGTACAAAAACGAGCTCGCGCGCAATCAACAAAAAAGTGTGAAACTATTTTTTACCGTTCAATCCAGAATTAGACTTCGACACATTGGAATTCTGGTGGGATTCTGGAGTATCCGAGGGTTCTGACTTCCACGATGGTAGATTATCACTTGGTGGCAAACCTGGTTGAAAGTTAGAAAAACGCATGCATTTATAATTAATTAAACAAAAAAAATAATAATCATCAGTTTGTTTGTCACGGCTTGCATGAAAATATTCCTTCCCGTGTTAAATTTTTTAATTAAAATGATGTTAAAAAAAAATTTTGTTTATTTAGAAAAATAAGTTTCATCGCATAAATAATATCAGATCGTATTAATTTAAAAGAAAAATTCTGCATCATAGTTAAACAAATATAATAAATAATATTTGTAACGTAATAATATTTAGTCACGTATAAAGCAAACATGTGTGGACAAAAGATGAAGCTGTTGACAAGAAGGCATAAGAGGAAATATGTATTAGAAAAGAGAATATCGTCGGAGCAAACAGCGATTTGAAACTCTTCTACATAAAATTTTTTTTAAGAAGAGAAAAAAAAATCAGATTAAAATAGAAAAAGACGGAAAAGTAAAGATATGTATCACGGATAGGTTCAAAGGAGAGTTGAATAGGAGATCGTTTTAATTTAAAATTAAGAGAATGCCTCCGATATTAGAACTCACTTTCGACTTTGTACGCGTATAAAAATATATGTTTTACATAATTCTTTTGTCATAAATATAAACCTGTGTTGATGGAAACATCAACTTCTTGACGGAAAAGATATTGATACAGAATGCATGTTATTAAGACAATGATCAACAATTATTTTTGCATCACATTTGTAATATATAATATTTTTTTTAACAAAGAAGAGAAAAAATCATTTTAAAGAATTAATTGCTTATGCATGAAGTATAAAGTTATTCAAATCCATAAAGTTCTATTTAAAGAAGGTTTCCTATTTAAAAGAAGGTTCATAAATTGTAGACTTGATTCATTTGAACATTTCTAATCTTTTCTAATTAAGTATTCAATACAGCTTAAAATGTAATAAAATATTAATCAAATTATTATTAGAAAAATTTATAGAGCCTTTTATTATAATATATTGTCTAAAGTATTGATGCTTTTAATATATTTTATTGGAGTTATATGAATAATATCTTGCTCACGGCTTTATCAATATTAATAATATCTTATATCTAAAATTTATTTGATTGTATTTAATTTTATTTGATGTTAAAACATATCATCCGAAACACTTATTTGTAGTAAGGCATATTAATTTTGTTGGTGCTTAAATACCTGAAGAAGGATTGTGACTTTGAAGACCCATTCCTTGCTGCAACAAATACTGTCTTTGTGTTATTTGCAATTGTTGTATTAATTGCTGCTGTTGAATCGCTAATTGTTGAAGAGGTGCTGATGCCTTCTTTTTATCTGCCGTTTGCAATAAATGCGTTTGTTGAAATAAGTTTAGCTGCAACTGTTCCTGCAGTTGCTGCATTGCCTGCTCCAATTGTTTTTTATTGAGTTCCGCAAGTTGATGCTGATGCTAAAACAAATTAAATGCAAATATGAATGTATCACTTTATCAATTTAATATATATATTAATGATTATGCTATAGCATACTATTGCATTATTATTAAAAGTTAACTATTTAATGTGCGTAGTCTACTGAAAAAAAGAAAAAATTCATTTTTATTTAAATTTTTATATAAACATTGTATCAATTATAACACTTTCCCCGAATAAGTTTCCCTGTAGAATGTATCTCTTAGAGTAAAAGATATAGATAATTAATTATAAATCAAACGGTATCGTCAACTTTTTATTAAACGTCAGAGAAGTGAACATTTCATTCCTGCCAAATTAGTTGGGCGGAATAAAAAGGAGAAGAAAAAAGGGCGGCACTTACGTCTTGGAATGATGAATAAATCACGGGCGCAGATAATTCGTGGCACTAAGGGGGCAAGAAGATAGAGGGCAGTTGATGGGTACCTCGAAGACAAACAACGAGACACAACGGCTGATGGCGATGCTTAATTGCTTACCTCACCCTCCAGCCCTCACCCTCCCTCCGCCTATTTCATTTCTCGGTCTCTCTCCTGCGCCTCGAGGATATTTTAAAACAAACTTCGAGGTACGCACCCTTTATCATATTACTATAAACGAATACTCTGCACGATTAATGGATGTAAACACGTTCTCGCTAATAAGCATTTTCCATGTTCACGTTAAGCATACGATTTCTTTATATTTCGTATTTATTTTGTATCCCGCATATTTTCTCCGGCAATTATAAATTCTGATGACGTCCAAGAAATTTTCAAGCAATCCCTATCGATAAGGTAAACGGACTTTTAATTTAAATTATAAACAATGTACAATTTAAACTTTGTAAATGTTAATAATATTCATTTGTCTTTGTTAAATTTTATGTATTAGAATCATATGGTCAGGTCGATCCATGGCTGAACGAAATGTCTCCAATTCGACACGTCTTTTTCTCTTCGAAGAACAGTCTCTGCTACAATAAACTACACGGTGCCATGAAAAATATTTGTTGTCGCTTCCGTTGGTATTTTTGAAAAGGAATATCAGAGTGCTTATTGGATCGTAGGCGCCAGGATAACACTGCGGCAGGATAGCAAAAGTGGTTCGCGCGACGTGTATTGTTATCGTAACGATATAGAAGGGACTACCTGTTTACACAGACCGAGTATCAACCCTCTCGCTACAGCATCGAACTTCCCGGCGAATTGCGTGTACACCGAAATTCAAAACCTCTTTTAAGATTAGCTTCCTCACGAAAGTGTCTTACGTTTCCGTTTCGTTTGTTCAATTAAGAGTTAAATTTAAGATACCGCGTCATTAAATTACACCGTTATATTTGTGCCGCAAAGCGCATTTTGTTCAATTTCTGCAAAATAAAGATATACAAATAAAAGTACGAATAAAAATTATAAACATAAAGATTTTTGTCGTGACAAATTTATCAATTAAGTTAACCTAATGCTGCGAAATAGTTACTTTCCATTGAAAGATGAATAGCTTTCGTACATGAAAGTCTTCGGTCCGTGACTATATTACCTCTGCCAATTTCTTAATTGGTTGATGTTATTATTAGACGCCATTAATAAAACTGTACATTAGTGACATTACACATAATGAATAATCGATAGAAAGAGTGAACTGGGGAAAGTGTTTTAGCAATGACTAATTTATATTGTATTATTGATTGCTGTGATAGCTAAATGGTTACCCTCGGTGTAATATAAAATCTCATTCTCTTCTTATCATTGTTCATACACAATGTACAGTAAGAATAATTAAGAATTTCACTTACGTTCTTTAAAGAGGAGAAATAACCGAACCGCTCCTGATTAGATGCATGATCGGAAGAGGAATCCTGCAATATGAAGATTAGTGTTGTAAATGAAAAAATAAAAAAAAGTTATCAAATGTATAACATGTAAAAAATGAAGCAAAAGAAAGATTTTATATATTGTAAAATTATACACATAAGAACAAAAATGGATGCGATGATAAAATTTTTTATTTAAAACTGTATGATTATGTGATTAATTAATCGTAAAATTTTAAAAATATATTGATTTATTTTTAAGTTTATAGTATACAACAAAATACTAAATAATACTATTCACAGATTCAAATAACACAAAAATATAGTTTAACCGTAGTTATAATGTGTATAAATAAAATACTAAAC